TAATTACCTGTTATAAATGTTAAGTAACTGTTTTAACAGTTATACACATGTTATAACTGTTAACTGCTGGTAAATGTTTCAACATTTCTTACATGCGTTGAAATCATTTAGTGAATTTCTCCTTTGTGGACGCCAGGTCGAGGTAAATGAGTCTGAGAACCTGACCCTTCAACTGATTAAACTTTTAGTGATGCAGAATGAATCAAACGTTTCTGATTGTTCCTTAAATGTCAGATTTTAATCCTTTAAACCCGGTGATTACCAGATTGTTGTTATTCAGTTCTGATATGTAAAACCGTAGAACTGAACAACTTCTCTACATTTATCTTAGATGTAATTCATCCGTTTCCTGCTCTTTGTTGTGAAAGACCCAAACTAAGTGGTTTGGACCGATGTGGACTCAGCAGAACAAGGTTTCAGGTGGACCCGTCAGATCCCAGCAGCTGTTTGGGTTCATGTGTGACCCTGCGTCGGAAGCAGCAGGACTGTGTGGCTTCCACTAATCCTCCAGATGATGCCACACGGGGTGGTCATGGAAACGGTCTGTTTCCATGGCAACAGAGCAGGATGCTGCGGCGACCAAGCCATCTCCCCACCTGGCAACAGCATTGCTCCTGGACCAGTATCAGACCCAGACCCAGAGAGAGAGACAACATGAGCAGAAGGCTGTGGTCTGATGACCTGCAGGTGTTCAGAAGGTGTGTGTGTGTGTGGGGGGGGGGGGGGGTATCTGAACTTAACGTCAGGCTGCAGAGGGAACCGTTTATGAGCTGTACGAGCCGTGGAGGGCTGAGCTCTCACTGAAGGACTCAGGATATTAACCGGGTCAAAGAAAACCCAAACAGGAAATAAAAACAGACTTGGTTCAACTTCTCCTGGATTTAAACCATCAACTTCTCTCTGTTGGTATAAATGTTGTTTTCATGACATCATGGCGACAACGAGGTGATCCGGTTCAGAACCGTTCAGGATTGTATCAACCCCGAGGAGGATCACTGTCTCTGGTAGCTCAAACCTACGGAGCAGAACCACTCGTCCACAACGTTGCCCACTCTCTCACAGGATCTTTACCCTTCAGACTGAGGAGTGACTAAAGGAGATCCGAGTTATTCAGCCGAACAAGGTTCTGCTAAAAGTTCTGAAGGATGAAAACTTTTTAATATTTAAATAATTAAAATTAATCTAAAACATTTCAGAGACTTCAAAATAAAGAACTTTGTTTTACTTTGAACCTGGTTCTGTAGAGACACAGCTGGTGCTTTGGTTCCTTCTGATCCCAACAGAACCTACCATCAACATTCTGAAGAACTCTGAGGTTCTCAGAGACAGAGTCAGAATGGTTCTTACATGACCCAGGATGCACCTGGCCCTCGGATCAGGTGTCCAGTAACTCACATGCATGCAGGGAGAAGTGTTTCCGTTCTGAGGAGTTCCCAGCTGAAGGAACCGGAGGAACCAGGGAGGAACCCAAAGACCCGACTGCAGGACAAGAGGAGGCAGCTAGAGATCCAGAGGAGTCTGCTGGTTCCCCCAGGAGGTGCTGGATGGAGTGCAGCTGGAAGCAGGGGTCAGACAGGAGGACGGAGGCGGCGCGGGACGTCCTGCGACGAGACAGAAGAAGAAGAAGGTTAGACAGGTTCCTGTGGTCAGGGTCAGACGAACAGAACAAAGTCCAGCTGCTGGTTCTTCATGTTCTGCCAGGAGAACATCAGACAGATACAAGGACAAACAGAAATAAAGTATACTACATTTGAAAACAAAGTAAAAAAATGAATTTATTTTGATGTTTTCATTTAAACTCTGACAGAACCAGAAGATTCTTCGTAAGAAACGAAAGGAAAACATGTTTGAGTGACGCGCCCGTCAACAAACAGAAATCGGAGCCAAGCTTTGACCTTGACCTTGAAGATGGGGCGATGAAGAGCCTACTTGACTCTGTGTCTGGAGACGATGCAGATGTTTGTGAAGACCCAATTCATTATCTTGAGCGGGTCGGAATTTCTGGGCAGGACGAGAGAAAGCTTACGAACGGACGGACAAACAGACGAAGACGGTGCCACAACATGTCCACCGTCCACAGGCCAAGAGTGGAAGCTGGATGAAGGAACAGAACTTGACTGTCCCCCAACTGTCCCCTTTGACCATCCCTCTGTCTTTCCCTTGTCTGTCCCCTGACTGTCCCCCTGCCTCCCCATTTTTCCCCCTGTCTGTCCCCTGCTTCTCCTATGACTGTCCTCTGAGGAGTGGACCTGTGGACATGTACTGTACTGTGCAGAAGTCTAAGACAGAGATTATTGCAGTTGTGTCCAACAGTTTGACAACAAACTGTTAAAAGTTTGATTTTATAGTTAGGCCAGATTCATTAGTTATAAAACTAAAAACTAGAGATACTGATGAACCAAAAGGAGTGACGTTTAGGTTTTTAATTCTTTAGTTTTTAGTTGATTCAGTGACTTTTGTGTTTTTTCTTCAATGAAGGAGACAAACTAATCTGTCCCTGACCTGTGAAATGTCCTGCAGGACGTCTTTCTCTGAAAAGACTGAAGCCAAACATCTCCTCTGGTCCTTCTCTTTAATGGAAAAATTAAAGAGCTGTTTAAGGAAACTTAAGGAAGAGAACTCAACCACATTCACTAAAACCAGCTGGTTTCAGAGGAGAAACAGGAACTCCTCCAGGAATGTGTCGATTTCTTGTTCTGATGGAGAAAATGTGAACATTTTCCTGAAAAAGCAGAAGAGAGATTCAAGAACGTGTCTGTCTGCAGACTGGGGTCAGCTGAGAGAACCAAGCTGCTCACACAGAGTCCTTCAGGTTCAACGCACCAGCAGCAGCTGTCGGCACAGGAAATGATAAAGAACAAGAAACCAACGAAGGGCAGATCCAACGGAGGGTGAAGAGGAGCAGCCTGGAAACAGCAGCAGGGTTTAACGTCAACATGTTTCCTCTTTAATTAGGAGAGCAACAAAGAGCCCAAGTGTTTACACTGACCAGGTTCATTACACACAGAAAACACTCATTAGAGCTGTGTCAACAAACACTGAAGAATTAATCAAACTATATTTAATCCCACAGGCAGACAGGCCATCAAACCCTGAACAATATTCTGCTGGAGCTCCTCAAGCTGATCCTTCATCCTCGAGAAAAAAACCCCCCGACATATCTGCTGCGCCTTTACTGCAAACGTTTACTAAACACCACATGAGTTTAGCTAACTCATGCCAACAGAGATCATCTGCAATGTCTGACCCCACCCCATTCTCCTTTAAACAATCACTAATGTCTGACCACACCCCTCTCTCTTCTAAACAATAACAAATGACCCCGCCCCTTTTCTACTAAACA